ATATATATATATATATATATATATATGGGTAGTGTTATCTATTATCAATGTCTTCTCGGCGGGAATATCATTATTATAAACGATTCGATCATCGTACTGTATGAAAGACAGTATGCTAGTACGCTAACCTCAGGCAAAATGTGTGGATCAACGAAACTCACAACGCATATTCTTCTGCTGATTGTAGACTGAAAATAGATAATGTGAATGGGCACCCCCCCCCCCTATACTCCTGACTTGTATTAAAACGATGCACTTATTCAAATTTCGCACAAGATCGAAATTTGGCGTTAACGAGTAACTGTTACAGGACTATAAATAGGTTCTTAGAAGACTCGTAGAACGTTCGTTCGTGCTCTATTGTTCCGTTCTAACCTCTTTGCGAGGATACACATGTGTGAGAGTGTTCACACGTTAATCTATGATGGCTAATGTATTGGGACAGATCATTGATGATTACTACAATCCCACTGACCACAGGTGAGTACAAGGAATAATCAATGTGCTGCCATCTATCGGACAACCGCGTGATTTAAGCTGAGTCGCTATGTCGCTCATGGTTGTTTTTCGGAGTTACATTTAGTAGATGTTGGTTATACCTGGTGACGACCGAATATCATGCAGTCAATGGTTCTGCACCTCTGATAATGAAGACAGTGTTGCGGTGGTGCAATTTCTAGTTTAATTACCAGGTACCGTTTACATTTGCATTTTACATTTACTAGTTAAATATCACCGAGTCACCGCTATATATACCGAAATATACGGCTGTATTTTTTTATGTTCTATGCTCTACCTTTGTGTTTTAGAGTTAGAATGAGGTGCATAGCTAATGATGTGAAGGCGAGTATCTTGGAATGTATCACAAATTACCCTATATAGCCCGATGATGATGCGGAAAACCCGCTAGAATAATGACTGCCAAAATATCCTGTATCCTGAATATCCGCAGTGAAAAATTGTACTTTAACTTGTAAAAATCAGTGGCCATTTGTGGACTCATACTTGCAAACACGACAATTATAGACCATGAAGAAAACAGGGACATTGCTTACTTGTCAGAAATGAATACAAAATATAAAATCCTTCCCGTAAGAATAAGTTCTTTAGTAGACGTGTTGACCCAGTCAGCATGTCCACGTTACGTCATCAACTGCTCGCGAAAGGCCCGGATGTAGCACAACTCGGGGCGATTGGGATTCGCGTCGATGCACGAGAGAGATTACGAGAATCTCCTCACAGACGTGACGAAGTGTGCATATTAATCGTCCGCCTATATATATATATATATATACTACTATATATAAGATAATGCGTGATAACCCACAAGTACGGACATGTTCTGCGTACTACACGTACACTGCCAGTAATTCAGGCCGTGCAGAGGATTAATACGAGCCAACTCGAGATTAATTATAATTGCGCGAGATGAAATCTTGCGAATACATGAAACGATTCGTTCGATAATAAGAGATGGCAGGTGCTCTATATTATGCTGGAATGATGAATATTGCATGTCGTGTGCCTAGACCTCGTGGGTAGCAACGAACGTCGCGAGTGACTCACGACACTAATTCATCTAATGTCTAATGTGTTCAGCGTGCCGAAGGCTTTTTGAATTTCCTGTTCTTAAAAATTCATCCCTGGTTGTTATCAGTCGCATATCGTAATAACTCTCATATAGGAGGCTACGCACCGAGCAGCAAGATAAAAATGCGTTATGTGAAAACCGAGTCGGAATATAATCAATATGTCGAATCTCTTTGTTGCTAGGGGTCTATTAAAATAATACAAGACGAGCCTAGATGTAGGTTTCAGATTTGAAGTGGCAATTTCAAATGATTAGAGATATTCCTGATAAAAACTCATGAACTTGCCTGTGTATATACTATAATATTATGGCTGCAACGTTACGCTGTTGCAAGTCTGGACTAAACTATCCGAATGGTACCTGGCCACGAATACGCTCAGGCTGTCATATAATCTCATGATTAAGTTTTTCTTCCATGAATGCAGTTTGAATTTCTAAACTGTATAGCATGCCTCTAGGCCGTTTATATCGGGATCGCTTCAATTGTGCCATTTATAGTCATCCTTGCTCGCTGTTGCTGGATGGAACTGACTCTTACTGTATGCGAGCTGAATATCGAGTCAACCTTATTGATAAAGTGATACTTTATAATCATATATATATCATATATATATATCATATATAATAATTATGAGTATATAATAATTATGAGTATATAATTATATATAAGTATCACTGTAGATTTGGCAAAGCTGTAAAAGTGGATTTTGGCAGTGAGTTGCGAGTTTATATCGACTTCGTAAAATAGAACATCGGGGATGGGTGTGTGTGTCGGGAGATGGCGTTCTTGGCCTTCGTGTGTCCCGGTACTCATTACCATTCCATCTGATTGCATCCCATCAGTTCTTTAAAATGCCGTTGAGGTTTTACTTTTCACGTGCAAAGCTCGGTAGTGAAAAGGCCCGAGTACAACATGACTTTATATAAAAAGCCATTACAAGGTGCAAGGTGCTAAAGATAATAGTGTACATCCATAATATAATATATTCTTTGTAACGTGAGAATAATTTAAATGCTGTAAAGGTCCACATTATTACGTGAAGTAGGGCACAGAGTGAACGGAAAATTGGCGTCTACGAATAGTGACATAAATGTTAACAGAATAACTGCCGCTGCGCGCCGCCCGCGCGCTCGCCGCGCGGGGGCTCCGGCGGTGTGTGTGTGTGTGTGTGTGTGCAGTGGTTGGGTTGTGTGTCGTGTGTCGTGTGAGGGTTGTGTGTGTCGTAGTGTGAGCTGTGTGTTCTGGGTGGGTGGGGTGGTCGTGTGTGTGCTGGTGTGCCTGTGGTGTGTGGTATGCGTGGCATGTCGATCTAGGAGACTTCCCGTCCCGTCGCAGTGCCCGACTTTTCGCCGCCGACAGGATTAATACAGGAGACATCGCGCTCCTGTAAAAGAATAGAGGTCTTTTCTCGCTGCTCTGTTAGGACTATGAGCGCTGAACTTTCATGGCAATTATGAGTCATATTCGCAGATTCCTTTAATATATGCAACTAATTTCCTTCCGCATAAGCCTATACTCATAATAATATTATGAACTAGTAGGGACTATTTCTAGTATAGTCACATTGTGGGATATTATCCCGTTTCAGTGAATGACTCAATCCTCAGCCCACCCACCGAACTCGCGTGGATATTTGCACGCGATACAGCGGCACAGCCAGCGCGCGCCACACGTGCAAGTACACACGCGCGTACACATGCACGGGCACATGCTCACACACATGCACGCATACACGCACACACGCGCGCACACGTGCACTTACACACGCGCGTACACATGCACGGACACATGCTCACACACATGCACGCAGACACGCGCACACACACGCACACGTGCACATACACACGCGCGTACACATGCACGGACACATGCACGCAGACACGCGCACACACACGCACACGTGCACGTACACATGCACGGACACATGCTCACACACAGGCACGCAGACACGCGCACACACACGTGCACGCACACACGCGCGCACATATGTACGTACACACGCGCGCACACATGCACGCACACACGATCACACACGCACACGATCACACGCGCGCACACGCTCACGCGCGTACGCACATGCATACCCAAGCGCGCGCGCACATGCACGCACGCACTCATGCTATTTTTTTCGTATCTAGTAGCTCGCTCAGGGGGGAGGCGTTGTGTGACATCACGTCAGCGGCATGCGTGTACGCACACACGCTCGCTCACACAGCCGCTGCTGCGCTGCAGCTCTCGTCTCTCGCTAACCGCTCCGTCTTTGAGCATGTAGGAGTCCCGCGCCACAGGCACTTGGAGCGTTTCAATAAAATATAATGCTAAATAAATACGAAATCTATTTACTACCAAAGTCTTAATGTTTCTCTACTCTTTTTCGCTTATTATTGCCGACAATTTCCTGTAAATGCCGTGCAAATGCTCCTCTGCAACACACATGTACACCGCACGCACGCTACCGCACACTGACACATAAATATATAGACTATATTTGACTATATATGACTATATATTTATGTGTCAGTGTGCGGTAGCGTGCGTGCGGTGTACATGTGTGTTGCAGAGAATTAAGCATTTGCACGGCATTTACAGGAAATTGTCGGCAATAATAGGCGAAAGAGTGACGAGAAGAGAAAGAGAAAGACACGCTCCAAGTGCCTGTGTCCCGCGCCGTGACGTCTCCCGTCTGCTCATGTCCCGCGCCTAACCCGTGCGCATGCGCACATCGTCCGCGCTCCTACAGGTTTTCTCGTCGGAGCATTGTTAGATAAATATGCGCGGGGATGAGTAATTGCGGCTGTGGGCCTCGGGGGAGACTGTGCCGTTCTGTAGGCGAGCATGCGTGCCTACCTTCCGTGTGGTGGTTCGCGCCGAAAAGCAATTTCAGCTCCCGCTTACTAAGTAGATGATGAATGGAGCCGGCAGACACCTGAAGCAAAAAAACACACGTCAGCGTGGGCTGGGAATATATATATATATATATGTATATCTATATGTATTATATAATATACATATATACATGTATATACGGCTCGTGCTGCTTGCTTACCTACGGCCGGTCATCTTAAAACGATAAACACTGAGCGGAAACCTTCAGCTGCCGCCCTACAGTCGTCGTTAGCGCATAGACAGAAGCCTGTCCCGAATGCCAACAACAACAGCAACGAAGCGCCGACAACTCTGCCGGTATGCGGCGTGCATCATATCATCATTCATCATATCATCATCATCATCATCAATCATCCACCATCGCGGGTGTTGCTATCCCCGGGCAGTGGAGGGAGGGTCACGGATACGTTGACGTTTATACTTCAAATTATTATCATCACGGTAACGCGTAACTCCAATAACTCAACCGCTAACCATAACACTAAAATCATCTATTATGTCGGGAGCGCTTATATAGATCAAGAATCCACCAAAATTAATCTATGGCTGTGGGGGACAGATATCATGATGCAAAAACCTTAACCTAACCCTGAACCGCTATCCTTACCCAACCAATCCCTAATCCTAACCCTAACCCTAATCCTAACCCTACCTAACCTGACCCTAACCCTAATCCTGAACACTTATCCTAACACTAGTGCTGACCACGTTCCGGTCACCTCCCTCACACCCGGGGGATAGGCATACCATCCATCGCTAGCATTTACCGCAGCGCACCAATGCAGCGCGGTGGCTCACGCGTATCGTCTATACCTACACAGCTCTAAACGTTATGGTGGGAAAAAAAGCGGTAGCAGTAGCAGCAGCAGCGGTGGCAGCGCGAGCAAGGGCAGCAGCGGGAGCGGCAGCGCGGCAGCTTAGCAGCAGTAAGCGCAGTACAGCATGCAGCAGTAGTAGTAGCAGCAGTGCAGCAGTAGCAGCGGGGGCAGTAGTAGTAGCAGCAGTAGCAGCAGTGAGCCACAGTAGCAGCACAGTAGAGTAGCAGCGGGGCAGTAGGAGCACAGCAGGTAGCAGCGAGGTAACAGCGGGCGCTAGTTAGTAGCAGCAGAGCAGCAGTAGCAGCAGTAGCAGCGGGGGCAGAGTAGTAGTAGCGAGCGAGTTATGCAGCAGTGGCGATGACAGCGCGGGATATCGATTAGGTTTTAACGAGGCAATCGTCGGCGAATGAACGAATTAACAAGACCGGTGGTATTTAAGAAATGCGAGTTGCGCGCCTCGCCGATAGCGTATATATATATATGTATTGTAAGCGCCGAAACCCCACACGCCAGGGAAAGTTTATGGCAATGCGAGAACGCAACGGTGGGCAGGAGAATGTATGAACAGGGACGGCGAGAGTCAGCGCGCGACGGATGGAGGTCAAAGAGAGCCGTGACTTGCAGATGGCGCGTCTAGTGGAAGCGGTCATGAATCCCGAAGCCGCGCATTGTGACAGCCTAGACACCTGACAGCATGATCTATGACAATCAGGGCCAGCGAACGACCATGGAGTCACGCCACAGTGCGCCACCGCGCACTCCCGCCACTATATAGGTAGCAGGATGATAGCAGCTAGGAATCCGACTCTGCTGTCGTTCGGAGGGCCGCCGCTTGGTCTATAGGGGACGCGAAATTAGATTCTGTTAGTTAAGGGAAGAACGCGATCGCGGGACTGTGGCCGCGACGTATATAAGGTGAGAAGCCATCCTTTCTCCGAGCTTTGGACCAGCCACCCGCTGCAGAAAAGGTTGTAGTGTGTAGTAACCGCCTCTTGCTTTCGGTAGTGCACGGAAGACTTTATGTATTGTATTAGAGATTAAGTAAAACACCGGTGAACCATTACTCTTGTCTTGGCGTTATCTCTATCAGTCTACTACAGACCTGTCTACTAAGGTAGTGCGATCACGTGTCTACTTGAGTGCAGGAGGACAGTCGAACTGGGTATTCTTTTGCCAAACAACGAACTATAAGGTATACAGCTATACTCGATGCACGAGAGATCGAGAGAAACACTGATGTGGAGACAACTGTTTTTTTTTCTAACGATTGAAGAAGTAAGAAGAAAAGAAGGAGGAGAAAGAGAAGCAAGAGGAGAGAAGAAAAGAATGTGAATGAGAGAGCAACGAGAAGTAGAGAAGAAGATTGCCTGACATTCGTTATGCAGAGTGTTCGCCAGACGCAGCAATAATGCTATGGACAAGATAGGGACAGTGATATGCAGCTGCAACAATAGCGGCGTAGAAGCCAGAACATCGCCAATTGTACGGACCTGGCTACGGAAGAAGAGGCGACGACGCAGGAAACACGCGCGATTCACTACACGCATAGGAATGACAGAAGATTCAGCCTGATGCCGGACAGCCCGACAATATAGCGAAGATATCAGCTGAAAAGACAACAACATGATCAAGGAGGATGGGTTCGAGGCGGATAGTGAAGTGAAACAAATTCTTTGTTCGGGCAATAAAATAGATTGCCGTATTTAAATTAGACTGGCAAAGGTACGAGGTATTACTTAGCCGAAAATAATAAAGCCACCTTTTCTTCCATCCTATAACTATACCTCACTATCCCCTCCACCACCCTCAACATCAGATTATTTATTACGTAGCGATGACTGATTTACGATAGAAAACGATGGCATGTGTTACACGTGAACTTATTAAAGCCTTCACTGGACAGCGTGTAGAGCGCGGTCTTGATTTTCGGGTACGCATCGCGAGTTTTCTGAAATGCGTAGATGCAGGGAATTCCAAGACAAGGCATATAGTTCTAACGGGAATAGTCGAGGTGCCTAGGTAGACGCAACAGGTTAATGCAAGGGCCTCGCGGATTACGGCCTCGGACTCGCATGAGGTAGGCCACGAAACAGAATTCGTAGGCACAGAGCAAGAGTAGTGAGGGGGGGTTAAAGGGGCCACAGGTAGCATTTTACGGCCCGTTAGCGAACTACGAGATTCACCTGAGGGCGGGTAATCGTTCGCTTTAGGTGTCACGGTGATAAGTATGACGCGGAGGATAGCACCAAGAGGGGAATGTAACCCCTACGAGCCCAAAACACACACCCACCCACCCAACTATACCTTCCTGATCCGATTATTCCTATTGTATACCAAAAAAGAGTGGATATTCATAATGCTCGAAGCTCCACCTGCCGAAGGCTACGGCAACCAGTTTTGCCGATATACGCTTGTTTCACAGCCTACGCCCGTACGTGTTATCTATTATTTTTTCGTATGATTGTAGTATTTATTGGCTAGTAATCTTTGCGGTGAACGTATGTAGAAATTTCGTCATCGTTGTGGGAATTTGTCGTAACGCGTTAGTTCTGCACTATATTGTCGGACTGCCCTAAACACATTCTTCATTAGAGTTGATATAGCCTAAAACATTTAAATCGAAAATATGAAATCAGTTTTGCGGTCTTTTTGTTGGCCGTATGATGCTGTCGGAAGCTGGACAAAGCTTTGTCAGGTCCACATCGGTGATTAAATGAGGATAATACGGATTAATACGGTTATACGGATTATACGGATCAATATGATATATAACGGAGCACGGAAGCTCGTGAGGCTAGCTTTAAACGTCGTTTTCGCGTAATACGTATCGGGAATACGGTATTCAGCGTAATGCCGCGCGTGTCGGTACGCGCATATGCTTGCATTGTAGTATTGTACGTTACAGCATAAAATACGCAAGATTGAGAGTAATTGCAGCGATATCAAAATTGTTTACTGCCTAAATGTGGTTGCAGTTCTGACTCGTATGTGTGATCGAACTTTATCGTTACGTTGTTTTGCTATAAATACAGTGCGAGGTTATTACAAAGCTAACATTGGGGGAAAATAAATAAATAAAATAAACAGATGTTCGGATTAACGAATACGATCGGATCACTAAACGAATGCTTTTGAGGCCTGGTACTTAGGGTATTCGTTTTGTTTTTCTCGCCTGTTAAATCTTCCTCAGCTGCGCTACACTATATTTTCCATTGACTTTGACTTGCACGGGAATTTATTTGCAAGTAGCGCGTTATATATCGGTTCGGTTTCTAGCCAGCACCTAGACGTTGATGTGCAACGGCTTTCCGTTCGCAGACTGCAGTCAATTTCGCCTTCTTATAGCTGGAGCTTGCGTGGTTTCTGCTACGTCACTCAATCAATTGTCTCCGCGCGCACAATTTGTTCCCATTTACTGCAGGCAGGTGCTGTAACGTGACGATGCGGCCATCGTGCTCGGTAGAGGGGAGAATGTAAGCGGGCGAAACCCCACACGCCCAGGGAAAGTTAGTGGCAATGCGAGAACGCAACCGGTGGCAGGAGAATGTATTGAAACAGGACGGCGAGATCAGCGGCGGCGATGGAGCGCTTAAGAGAGCCGTGACTTGAGATGGCCGCCGTCTGCTGGAAAGCCCGCGTCATGAATCCCGAATCCTTGCGCATTGTGACAGCCTAGACACTTACCAGATGTATCTATGACATCAGGGCCAGAATCGGACCATGGAGTCACGCCAAGTGCGCACGCGCATCCGCCACTATATTTAGGCTAGCCAGGGAGATAGCCAGAGATCCGACACTCTGCCGTGTTCGGGGGCCGCGGTTGGTCCTGAAGGGTGAGCGAAAGGAGATCTGTGACGTAAGGGAAGAAACGCGATCGCGGGACTGGGGCGCGACGATATAGGTGGAAGCATCGCCTTCTCGAGCTTGGACCAGCCACCGCCTGAGAAAGGTGTAGTGTGCTAGTAACGCTCTGCTTTCGGATAGTGCACGGAGACTTATGTATTGGACGTCCCGGTATTAGAGATTGAGTAAACACTTGTGAACATTACTTTGTCTGCCTTATTCTCTATCAGTCTACTAGCAGTACCCTTCTTACTAAGTAACGTGCGAATAGTGTCTACAATATATATATGTATGTTCCGGCGTCGGTGACCTAATTTCCGCACGTAAGCTCGTGAAACTTTCCGCTTTACCTGAATGTCAATTGCGATAATAAGTAAGA